ACTATCTTCTTTAAATGGGATTTTTAATTCTGTTGTCATGGTTACCTATATATGATGGATATAAGTAGGCAGGTAGAGTTGGAAAATACAGTATCTTCTAATATAGTTAAGGTATTTTAAAGTTGTTATGGTTTAAGGGGCATTTTTAGAAATGAATCATAATTATTTTACCCTTTCCATTTTCAAGAACATAAAAAAGTAATGGATGGTCTACACTTTTGTATTTGGTTGACTTGGATTTAATATGTGTGCTTTGAAGACTTACTTTTATAACCAGAAAGTATACTAATCCAAGGTCTAGGTAGTAGACCAGATTCTTATTCTTTTTATCTCTGTCAAATGTTAAACTAATATTGCCTCCTTTTTAATAAGTTACTATGAAATAGTTTATTAAACTGTTCATTATTTCTTAAAGGATAGCTATTATCTCACACTTCCTGTACTTGTTTAATCTCAATGAAAAGCTGCTTTCTAATCACTGTTCCAAATAAGGTTTTCTGGTTGCTTATAAATACAGTATAATGCTGTGGCTTTCAACCCATTAAACCCAAATGTCCAATACGGATTTCTAGACATCTTCAAGAAATTGACTGTGATGGACATTATTGTGTGCCTCTCATCCTCAGATTCAAGCCTGCATACTCTGAAAAGAGTTAAGACCAATGTAAAGTTGAGAATGTGGATTTGTTATATTTTAATAATTACATTCATAAAGTTTGTATCTTAAGTGCCACTTAACCTGTAAGTGATTATTATATACCATCTTAGAAAATGTGCTTAATGAGAATAGCTACTTTATTTCTATGACTAAAGCCTTGTAAAAATCTTAAAATAAAAATTGTTTTAAAGTTTCCTAGTGTGTTGTAATAATGTATTTTAAGCATGAATAACTAGCTGGGCATAGTGAAGAAAGAAATAAAAGAACTGAAGATTAAAAAAAAACCCACAAAAGTTATATACATGGATTTGCTTAGATTGTTCAAGAATGTAGGAGAAATTAAATCCTAATTTATTAGACTCTATATGCCCTCTCTTGATTATTTCCTCATAATTAATTCAGCACCAACTCTTTGAAAGGCTTTGTGTCAGTGCTGGGGATGCTTTCCAAAAAATAAAAACAAAACAAAAACAGACCAAAAAATAAGCCCCAGCCTTTGTCCATTTAATTTTACAGTCTAGGAGCAGCAGAAGCTATCATTTACAAAAGATGGTGATATACTCTCTAACACCTAAAGTAAAAAGGAGGCATAAATAAAAGGAGGAGGTTTGAGGTGAGAGCAAGCAAGTGTAAATGCCTTCAGGCAAGGCAGTTGGGAAGCTTAGGAAACTGCAAGTCCCCCAGTGGGAGATTATTTTAAGGGAAGCTGCATGAGGGGTTGGGAGAGATAGTGAACATTGTGAGCAGGGGCCAGGCCATCAGATGGTGCATTTCAGAGTTGAGATACTAAGCCTAGAATGAGAAAGTGTTCCTAATATTTAATTTGAGATAATGAAAAAAAAAAAAAAAACAGAGAATCTCCACCTGTGACAGACGTGGAAGACGCTCTGTGTTCCCGTTCCAGCACAGTCAAACATAGTGTGCAAACTAAATGTCCAATGCACATCATCTCCAGCAAGTTTCAGAGAATTAAAGGTAATACTGTTAAGGGGATAAGATGCCCAGAAGCCACTGTGCTGGCACTTTTTGTCCTGGGTTGGGAAATCTGGAACCTGCTCCAGAGGGTTCAATTAGATTATCCTGTGTGCAATTTGAAAAAGTCAGAGGGTCTAGATTTTGGGTGATTGGTTAAATTAATAAAAGTAGTGGTAGCTCACAAGGACAGATATTTGAAAGTTCAGAAGCATAATTGGTCATTGACAAAAATTCTAAGAATCTTGAGTTATATCCAATTAGGAAAGATTCTTCCCACAAACACATTAAATGTTGCATAGTTTTCCTTGCTAAGCAGCATTTTGTTCTATTGTAATCTTTGTCTTGGAGTTTGGTAATGTGCTTAAATTCACAGGCCTAGTAAGAGATAAGGCTGTGACTAGATTCCTTGTCTAAATTCTTCTAGAGTCCACACTGTTCCATTCCTCTCTGCCTGAAATAAACATTGTGTTACTTTTCTTCTCCACACTCCCAAGTATATCTCAGGGGATTAAGAGGAAGGACTCTGTGCTCAAAGAATTGGACTGCAATATATAGCCAAAGCAATTAATACTACAGTAAGTGAAAGTTATTAATAAAGAGAAGAAAAAGATTATTCAGTGACAATATGATCATCTACATATGCAAAGTCAGATAACCTCAATATCAGGGATTACACAACCATTCTGGACAGTTCCTTCTTGTCTGGAAGTAAATCAACTAAAATAGAAGTCAGGTAAGAGGCTAACACTGTTTACTGAAAAGGATAAATCAGCATCATTTGACTCTGACAACACATAACCTCTGGTGGGTCCCCTGCCTTGTGTTGCAGTGTCTTCATCTTATATCAGATGTAGGACATGAACTTGCAAGGTTTGCACTAAGGCCACTGCTCAAGAGTTTGCGGGGATCTAGCATTTCCCACAAGGCCTTTAATCCAAGAAACAGGAGAAAAATGAGGAAACCCATGAATAAATACTGAGGAGAAAGCCACTGCAAAATATAGGAAGTGGTATAGCAATCTGCCCAAATCTATTTTCAAACTTAGAATGCCCTGGACAGGGCGATCAGGCTGGACATCCTCTTTCACTCTTCATAGTTTTCAATGAAGTGAGAGCTTTGACCTAAGGAGAGTGACCTCAGTTAAGGAGAGAGATGATCCCCACATCTAATAGATACAAAATGAGGACACTGAATACGGAATATGGGGAACCAGGACAGTAGTGTCCCACAGAAACCCAACACGGCTGTCAGCCCTCACAGGACCTAAACATCCCTAGCCTAATGTGGCTCACCCTAACTTCCACAAGAGAGGTTTCAGAAAGCAGAGGACCTTGATCTAAGCATGTCAGGGAGGGTGGAGGTCCAGGACAGACCAGGAGCAAGGTGAGGTTTCTTAAGTTTGTAAAAAGGGGATCGCTAAACCCACAAAGGAGGAGATTTCACAGCACTCCTCCCCTCTTCTTCGCCCTGGTAAGCTCCAGGCAGAGCTATAAGGCTGAGATGCCCTCATTTCAGCCTGCAGATTTTCAGAGGGCAACATGATCATCTACATATGCAAAGTCAGATAACCTCAATATCAGGGATTACACAACCATTCTGGACAGTTCCTTCTTGCCTGGAAGTAAATCAACTAAAATAGAATTCAGTTAAGAGGCTAACACTGTTTATTGAAAAGGGTAAATCAGTATCAATTTAATATCCCTTTAAAGGATAAATAGAGTAGTCTATTAGACACTCACTTCTTCAATGTGGGAATCTCAGCCCTAACTGGAGTCAAGGTGATGATAACTAATACTTATCACGGGGCCTTTTTCCAAAAGAGGTGGCCACCCAGAGCCCCAACCCCGTTTTCAGGCCTATGGGGTTCTAGGACATGATCACATTTGTCCCTGGGTTTCTTTGCCAGGGATTGGTGGAAGTGAGAGCTTTATTTGGAAGTTAGCACACTCAAGCCAGCAGAGGCAATTCCAGACTCTGCTAACAATAGTGAAAACCCTGAGTAATGACGTAACAACCATGAAACCCCAACATCCGGGTCCCAAACTGTTCCATCCTTGACGTTTGCCCTTGGAGACGTTGGACCGGATGTGACTCATTTCTACTTCCTGTTTGAAAACAAAGACCTCTGTCCAACGGACAGGGTTGGGTGAGCGGCCAAGGGTGAACTCCCAAGACTGGTCCAGAGTCAAAGGTGAGGAGGGTCTTGGGAGATCCTAGTAAAGTTGCTTTCCAGAGTTATGCCTATGGGCAGCCGGGCGGGGGGAGGAGACAGAGTCTTGGTCTAAGGGAGCAGCCCTGATTCTGCAGATAGAGATCTATGCCCTAACTCAAGTCAAGGTGAGAAACCTAAATGGGAATCAAGAGGCTGCTCTCCCTCCATAAAAAAGAGGGCCCCACTAAGTCCCGCCCCTGTGGTCGGTCCTGGGAGGTCCTCGAAGAGCTTTCCGGCAGAATTTTGTCTGGAAAGCCTCAAGGAGGAGAGGACCTTGGACTCGATTAGTAGTCTCGATTGTGTGGATAAAGGATATCTAGGCCCTAACTGGAGTCAGTTCAAGGGCCCTAAATGACAAATGAGGGGATCTCTCCCAAGTAGGGATGTTAACGCCAAACAACAGAACCCCTGCACTCAGTTCTAGGAGGCTCCTGACAAGGGTAAGTGGGAAGGAGGCCTTGATGTTTCCACTTAGACACTCAGGAAGGTGTGGGTTTTGTTTGGAGTCTGGGGGACTTGGGTCACTGGGGTAGGAGTCCCAGGCTCTGCTAGATTTCAAAATGGAGACCCTGAGTGAGGACCTAGGGCCACGGATTCCCCATTATGACGTCCTCGACAGTGTCCCCTGCCACCCACCCCACGCCGGGCAGCCATGACCGGATGTGGTTAAACCTCACTTCCGTTGTTAGGGTGAGAACCCTCGTCGTTTGTGATGTGGTGTGGAAACGGCGGATGGTGAATTCGCAGGCCTGGTGTGGAGGGAAGGTAAGGCTCTCGGCCCCAGAAAAGCCCCAGAATAACTACCATTCAGATCCTCCCTTTGTGCCTGTAAAGTGCCAGACAGGTTGTACTAATTGTGTGCCCTGTTGCCACTGCTCTTAGTCTGTATGTACCAGGCAAGGCTGATAGGCTACAGCCCAAGGCACATTTTAATTACCTCCACAGGATTATCAGAGGACAAAATGATCAGAACACAAAGCGCCTGGGTTTCTTGAGCAGTGCTTTCATGGAAACCTACAGAGGCAACCGTTTTAAAGCCCAGATGGTATCCGCCTGCTGAAGGTGTTCATGCCCTCTCATCTTCTTTCCTCCAGGTGCCTGCCTCACCTGTTCTACAGGCCACATTCCTGGCTGCTCTCCCTGAGAACAGCCATCATGCCTCGAAGTCAGAAGACTAAGCTCCGTACCCGTAAGAAAGGTTCCCAAGCCCAAGGTGAGACCCAGGGCCCCTGGGGTGCTCAGGCCACTGAAACCAAGAAGAAAATATTCTCCTCCTTACCCTTTTCTCATTTGGGGGCTGTTACCCAGAGAAAATCTGTGGCTAGGTCACACTGCACTCTCAAGAGCTCTCAGGAGACCTATCCACCTCTTTTTCTACAGGTGTTGGTCGCACCAGATCACGCAAAGGAGCCAACAGCAAAAATGAGAGAAAGCAAAGACCCTCTGAAGCTACGGCCTCTGCTATGAAGACTCAAAAAGATCCCCTAAGAAGGATGACAAGCATGCTGGTGCAGTTCCTGATGCAGATGTACAAAATGAAAAGGTCTGTTACGAAAGCAGAGATGATGAAGATTTTCAAGAAAAAGCAAGAGTGTCACTTCCCCGAGATCCTGAAAAGGGCTTCTTTCAGTATAGAGATAGTATTTGGTGTTGATTTAAAGGAAATTGATTCTGTCAAGGACTCCTATGTCCTTGTTAGCAAAATGGACCTCCCTAACAATGGGACGGTCAGCCGTGGTAAGGGGTTTCCCAAAACTGGCCTTCTAATGAATCTCCTGGGCCTGATCTTTATGAAGGGCAACCGTGCCTCTGAGGAGGACATTTGGGAATTCCTAAATAAGATGAGGGTATTTGCTGGGCAAAAACACTTCATATTTGGGGAGCCAAAGAAGCTTATCACCCAAGATCTGGTGAAGCTTAAATACCTAGAGTACCGGCAGATCCCTAACAGTGATCCAGCACGCTATGAATTCCTCTGGGGACCCAGAGCGCAAGCAGAAACCAGTAAAATGAGAGTCTTAGAGTTTTGGGCCAAGGTCAATCGCACAGAACCCAGAAATTTCCATCCCTGGTACCAAGAGGCTTTAAAAGACGAGGAAGAGAGAATCCAAACCGCAGTTAAATCTGCAGTGATAGCCGAAGTGCCAGAGTCAGTGAATCTTGCCGAGCCATACCCAGAATGTCCCACACTTAGTGAAGCTGAGTTTCGCTTAATGGTCGAAGAGGACAGCCAGTATTCCCAGTAAGGGAAGGCTGGATGTGAAATACCTTTATGTTCCTGTTCTCTGTGGGTGATTTTAAGATTTATCTGTATTGGGAAAGTATTTTTCAAAGATTCCTTATGTTTTGCTTTGTGATCTTAATTCATGAATGACACTGATCACATTTCTTGTTTATCTGGTTTAAAAACACACATTTTGCTATTCTGTAAGACAACTTGAGAAAACTTCCATCTTTCAGTTGTCAGGTGTGAGATAATTTGAGATTGGAATAATTTCCTTGAAAATATTGAAAAATTCACCTGTTAACATGTATGGAATCAATAAACAAGAGAAAAAGAATAAGGTGGTCAATATTTGGTTTTCTAAATGCTTTCACGCCGTCTTTTATAAAAATAAAAAAAACCTGTATGTGTCTGGTTTATTCAAGAATTAAAATTGAATCATAACAAATTAGAACCCATGCTCACAGTCTCCCGATGTTAATCGAACATCTGCTCTTGAATGGCTCCATTCTAGTACTGAGAGGACTAAACCAAAGACCTAGCAACTGACCATAAAATTGTAAGGTTGAGAAGCGCCACCGTATAAGAAAAATGATGATAAACACTCTTAAGACCAAAAGGATAAATGCAAAGGGATAAAAAGGGAGGGAGGCAGTTTCACATGAGAGCAGTCAAGTGTATGTTGCTGTGTTGGGCCCTGGGAAACTCCAAGTCCCTCAGTGGGAGGTAATTTTAAGTGGGGCTGCTTGCAGGGCTGGAGGAAGCTATAGGAGTGGTGGGAAGGGGTCAGACCCTTAGATAGTGCCTCTCAGGGTTGAGAGACAAAGCCTGGAATGAGAAACAGTTCTTCAGCCTTTCAGGGACTTGTGAGTCCTGTCCCTGAACAAGGAAGGCAGGAAATACCTACCCAGAGCAGTATGATCCACAGACTTCCGACCCTGCTGTCAGCCCACAGAGTTTCTAAACAGTCTTGACAGGATGTGGCTGATTTCCACTATGGAGGTTTCAAGGAGGTGAAAATCTTGGTCTGAGGCTTGCTGAGCCAAATCCATAGAGGGAAGATTTACAAAGTATTCCAGGAGTAAAGTGAGTACATTGAAGAGTGCAGGAACCACCAAACCCCTATCAGTGGGGACCCCACAGAATCCTCACTATTGGTCAGCCCTGAGAGATTCAGACAGAATTATCAGGCAGAGGCACCTTCATATCCTCAGGATTAACAGAGAAGTGAGGGTCTTGGTGTGAGGGGACAGTCCCAGCCTAGCAGAGGAAGGACTCTTAGGCCTTCCTATGAGTCGGATTTAGGATGCTGAATTAGGACCCTGAGTAGGACAATGCACTATAGGGCCTCAACTTGTCTGCCACAGCTGCCACTCTTGGGAGACCATGGTTAGTTGTTGCCAAACCAAACCACCCTCACTTTCTCCTATTGGGTCTCAAGGGGTGCAGGTCTTTTATGAGGAGAGGTCCTCAATTCAAGAAAGTGATTCCCAGGTTCTGCCAGGAGCCAAATCAAGAAACTGACTGACAACTGAAGGGACCACCCACCCCTCAGTAGAGAAGACAACAGAGAGTCCAGCCCCTTGCACTCAACCCTTAAATTGCCAGGGCAAGGTGTGAGGCTGAGAAATCACTTTCTTTTAATAGACTTTATTTTTTGGAGTAGTTTTAAGTTCACAGGAAAATTAAGCAGAAAGTACAGAGAGTTCCCATATACGCCCTGTCCTCCCACAGACAGCCGCCTTCATATCAATGTCCCACATCAGAGTGTTACATTTGTTTCATTTGAACAGATACATCATTATCATTCAAAGTCCAGAGATCACATGAGGATTCATTCTTAGTGTGGCACATTCTGTGGGTTCTAACAAATGTATAACGGCACATATCCACCACTATAAAATCACACAGAATTGTTTCACTGCCTTAAAATCTTCTATGCCCCATCTATTTATCTCTCACTCCCCCCAACCCATGGCAACCACTGATCTTTTTACTATTTCCATAGTTTTGCCTTTTCCAGAATGTCATATACATGGACTTATGCAATATGTAGCCTTTTCAAAATGGCTGCTCCATGCTTTTTCATGGCTTAATAGCTCATTTCTTTCTGGCACTGAATAATAGTTTAATGTCTAGATGGACCACAGTTTATTTACCCACTCACCTTCTGAGAACATCCAGTGGCTTCTCACTTTTGACAATTATGAATAAAGCTGTTATAAATATTTGTGCACAAGTTTTTGTCTGGAAATAAATTTTCAGCTCATCTGGGTTAATGCCAAAGAGCACAACTGCTGGATCATATGGTAAGAGTATAAATAATTTTGAAAGAACTTACAAACTGTGTTCCAAAGTGGCTGTATCATTGTGCATCTCCCTGCATAGAATGATACTTCCTGTTGCTCCACATCTGCACCAGCATTTGGTGTTGTCAGTGTTTTGGATTTTAGTCATTCTTATATGTGGAGAGTGGACTTTGAGGTAGCAGAGCCCCCACAGCCTAGGGAACATTCAGGAAATGAACCCCCAACTGCTTTTCCTTTCCCCAAAACAACCATATTCCTTTCTTCATGCTCTCCCTGACAGAAGTCACGTAGCTCTTTCCTTGTCTAGTTAATTTTTTTTTGAGATAGAGTCTCATTCTGTCACCCTTGGTAGAGTGCTGTGGTGTCACAGTTCACAGCAACCTCAAACTCTTGGCTTTAAGCAATTCTCTTGCCTCAGCCTCCCAAGTGGCTGGGACTACAGGCTACCACCACAATGCCTGGCTATTTTGTGTTGCAGTTATTGTTGGTTAGCTGGCCCGGGCTGAGTTCAAACCCACCAGCCTCAGTGTATGCGGCTGACACGGTAACCACTGTACTACAGGCACCGATCCTGTCTAGTTAATTTTTAAGAACTATGCAGAAATCCTTGTGATCTTTTCCTTCTTACTTCTTATCATATGTTAATGAGTCAAGTAGAAACAATTAACAAGATGATTTCTCTTTATTCAAGTCATCTAATTATTGTAAGACCAAAAATATGTCTTTTGTTTATGCTATTTCCCCATATTGTCTATGCTACTTCCCTGTAGAGAATCCTGTCGAGATACTATAATAAAGCTGATTTTGTGCTTTGGTGCTGGCTGCAGCCATCAGCTCAGTCAGACCTCCCAACTCCCAATCCCATCTTTCATCTCTGTGTCTTCACTTGTGCTATTTTGTTCTCAATCCCCACCAATTCCACTCTGGTTCACTCCCCTTCCCTGTGCTGGTTCGAGACACTTAGAGATATGCAGTGGTATCATGTTGTTTTGGTTTTCAATTCTCAAGCATCATGAGAAGTTAAGCATCTTTTCACGCACTTATTTGTCTTTCATACATCTTATTTGTTGAGGTGACTATTCAGATATTACCCATTTTTAATAAGGTTATTCATTTCTTGTTGAGGTTCAAGTAATTTTTTGTATAGTTTGGACAAAAGTCTTGTATCAGATATGTCTTTTGAAATTATTTTTCCCAGTCTGTGGGTTGTCTTCTCATTCTCCTGATGGTATCTTCACCAGAGCAGAAGTTTTCAATTATTTTTTTCATAGATGCCCAACACATTTTACTTCAGGACTAGAGGAGGTGACATCCTTGGTATGAACATACACTTATCAGTCCACAGAAGGAAAATTCCACAATCTTGCATGGTATCCAGATGAGGATACTGAGTGTGGACATGGGATCTAAGGAGTCCAGGACAGAAAGAGCCCCACTGAGCTTTTAGGACTAGATGCCTCTGGGCAGGAGTGGTGGGTTGAGATGGCCCTACACTTACTACAATTGGGTTCCAGGAATTTAAAGTATCATCTTCACAAATGAAGTCCCATGCCCTTTTAAAACTTGACATAATAAAGCTGAAGGTAATATAGCAGATCCCTTCTACTCCAGAACACAGTGGACCCTATTTCTTTCCCTTTCTTTCTTTCTTTCTTTCTTTCTTTAAGTTTTTGGCCAGGGCTGGGTTTGAACCTGCCACCTCCAGCATATGGGGCCAGCACCTTACTCCTTTGAGCCACAGGCACTGCCCCCTGCTATTTCTACCCCATCAGTGCCAGGCGGCAGAGTTCTACCTCTATATCTAGCCCTGCTATCACCCCATCAGTGCCAGGCAGGGTTGACAAGCTGAAGCCTAATGCATACTACAACTTCCTTCACTGGGTTCGCAAGAGACAGGCTCACTAAGAAACACAGGCCAGTGGTTCCTGGAGTAATGCTCTCAAGGAAACCCACAGGGGTGGCTTCCTAAATGCTAAAGTCAGCTCTGCCTGCTGAAGGTGCTCACAGGATCTCATGCTTCCTTCTCCAGGTATGTCAAGCACCTACCCTCCTACCACACTCTCACCTCCTGTCCCTGACCACAGCCATCATGCCTCACAGTCAGAAGAGTAAGCTCTATACCCACAAGAAATGCTGCAAGACCTGAGGTGAGACCCAAGATAGTGGTGCTCAGGCCACTGCAGCAGAGAAAGAAGAGTCAGCTTCTTCTCCCTCTCCTGCTTTGGGGGATACTACCACCAGCTCCCCTACTGCAGAGTCCCCAGGAGCTTCAGAAAGCTCCACCCAATGCTGCTGCAGATGCTTCCAGGGCACAAAGTGGAATAAAGGTGCCAAGAGAAAATGTCGGGAGAGCAAAAATTGCTCCCAGGCTTCAGCCACTACTGAGAGCTCACAAAGAGATCCTATAATTAGGAAGGCAAGGATGTTGGTGCAGTTCATGCTGTACAAGTATAAAATGAAAGAGCCCATTACAAAGGCAGAAATGCTGAAGATTATCCACAAAAAGTACAGGGAGCATTTCCCGGAGATCCTCAAGAGAGCCACTGAGCATGTGGAACTGGTCTTTGGTCTTGACCTGAAGGAAGTCAACCCCGGTGATCAGTCCTACACCCTTGTCAGTAGGCTAGACCTCAATGATGATGGAAGTCTGAGCAGTCTCTGGGGCTTTCCCAACGGGTTTCTGATGCCTCTCTTGGGTGTGATCTTCTTAAAC